GATACAGATGACAGCCATTGTTGGTGGTAATGCTCAGTTTGGTGACGCAACAGGAAATTTTGCAAAACCTCTCTGACGGCCAGCAATATTTAAAAATAAAAAATAAAAGGCCTTGCCTGTGTGTGGTGTGTGCATCCACCATATGGAGCAGGCAGAAGGTCAATGTGTACATGTGGAAAGCATAGTCTCTGTTTGTTCTGGAGGCAGGTCTTTGCAGTAGTTACCACCCCAACCCATCTCCCAGCCCTGCAACATTTTACACAGGAAGCAACATATTAAAGCCTTGTTGGGGGGCAGATGGCCGAGTTGGTCTAAGGCGCCAGATTAAGGCTCTGGTCTCTCCGGAGGCGTGGGTTCGAATCCCACTCTGCTCAATCCTCCCATTATCTCAGCCATCCTCTGTTGTAGTTTAACCTAACCGCTGCAGTGGAGGCGGCTTAACAGTAACGGAACTGTCACTGCAAACTAAGAAGTTTAAATGGTCAACCAAGCAGGATCAACCCTCTCTCCTTGTGTTTACTGCACAAAGGACTCAACCATACAGATCCTCCTCACAGAATGAGAATTTTCAAAACTGAATCCTGACCATATTCCAACTGCACACCGGTTGACAGAGTTTTCCTTATCTAGCATGTACAAAATTACTAAATAAGGGAAAAAGGCAAATTGGTGAAGCCAACCTCTGACTTTTTTCCTTCAGTCTGATTAAGGCAGCGAGCTTGTGTCAGGCAGAGGCTCTGTTAACTCAGTTGGTTAGAGTGTAGTGCTAATATGCCCTCTTGTGGGCTTGAGGGACGCTAAAGTCACAGGTTCGATCCCTGTACAGAGCACTCCAAGGAACGCATGGATGTATGTGGGGGGGGGTGTGACTCTTCTTACAGTTTGCATTTCAAGCTAGCTCAATTCCTCAGATCAAAGTGACAGTGGCATTCTGACTTCTACAACAGGTTAGTTCTGGTCTGAATGTGAGCCTGCCTTCAAGGACAATCAGTTTGTCTGTCTTTCCGCATTAGCAAAAGTCCTGAGACCCAGTACAAGTGCAGTCATGCCCTAAGCACCAGAACAAAGGCTTGATTTGGCACATTTATTAGCTTTGACCATGTAACTGTGTTGGAATAAGCTCAGACAAACGCACCCCACAAGTCCCCTGTAACAACTTCCCTGAAACCACCATCCCACTCACTTGAGTGAAAACAAGCAAGCATGAAGGAGGAACCATCCAGTGGCAAGGTAATAACTGTGGCTTGCTGCTCTGCGCTTTGTTCCATTGCAGTAATCTTGCAGCAGACGCACTCTTCTTATTAACTGGGTGAAATAGGCTCCTCCTTGGCCTGACTGGGTTCCTCCCCTTTCCTCCTGCACCTCAACAAGAAGCAACGGGGCTTGCTGGGGATTGAACCCAGGACCTCCTCCACCCGAAGGAGGAATCATACCACTAGACCACAAACCCACTCATAATCTTTGTTGGAATATGCACCACACACATCGTAATCAATAAGAAAGAAGAAGAAAATTTGTCTTTGATCCCATCTGTCTCCTCTGGAATCATACCACTGGACCACAAACCCAAGCATAGTCCCTGTTGGAATATGCCTCTGCATACAAGATAATCGATAAAAATTTGCCTTTGATTCCATCCATCTCCTCTGTCACCATCGCCACCACCACTGTCACAGACACACACTCCACCCCCACCCTCGCTAGTCCCAATTATCAATGATTTATATAGTTGTGCATTACATTTTCAATGTCCTTCACAGATTTGCCTCAGGTGCACCAACTTCCACCAGACTGTAACACACAATCTTTGGATTAACTACACACAGAACAACAACACCAATCAGCTGAGAGCATTTTGCACTTTTCATTATTAGAGAGAAATGACATGAACTTGAAATGAACTTGATCTCAACTTGAACAAAACCTGAATTTGGACTTTGCCCTCAGAGATTGGCAACAGGGGATTAAATTTGCAGCAAGCCCCCATCAACGCATAGAAAAAAGCAAAAAAAAAAAAAAAAAAAAAAAAAACCCTTCTCAATTTGACATAAAGTATCTTTCAAATTGATCAAAAGTCCAGTTCAATGTTGTCGGGGCGGTTTGCTGTCATACATCTGCTTTGCTTGTCTATGAGTGTCCAACATCATTGGATTTTGTCGTTTGTATATATGTACCGTTGTCACCCCTCTGCTGCACACTACTGTAGCTAAAAGTCAGGATCTGCAACCTGAAACCTGAAACCTGAAACCTGCAACTGACAGACACACTCCTCAGCACAGAGGAGTCAGAGCTGTGACACTGTGGTGAGCAGAGTGGGATTCGAACCCACGCCCCTCTCGTGACTACGACCTGAACGTAGCGCCTTGGACCGCTCGGCCATCTGCCCCCATCCTCACGCATCCCCCTTTTAATAATATCGTGCACTTAGCCGCTCATCAAGGCAGTGTATCCATGAAGGATAATGGATACCGAGAAGGAACTCAGAGTCTTTCCCCAGTACGATATTTACACAATGGCAACTACAAGAATATTGTCCTGATTTCAAATAATGCAGCGGGGAAGGCCGGAATACAGCCTTCTTGGCTCAGTTGGCAGAGCGTCTCCCTAGTACCAGGAGTGAATCCGGACGGCAGGAGAAGGTCACCAGTTCGATTCTGGTAGAAGGCATGGCTGGCAGGAAGTGGGCCTGTTCTAACCCCTTTATTGAGCCTTACTGGCAGGAAGCGCTTTCCGCGTTGATCTGCATTTCTGGGTAATTTTCCAATCAATCTGAAACCAGCCAGGAAGGAGGCTAAGGCTGGCTGGATTCAGACCAGATACTAAGAGCTCCGTATCTGTCAGGAACATGGCAGGACAGGGCAAGGCAGACAAGGAACTGAGAGGAGTGATGATTGTATTGGAAACAATAATTCACTTGAGGGATGGGACAGGTCCCCCATCCCCCTTTTTTACCTTTTGAGAGTCTTCCTTGTCAAGACTCAAAGAAAGTTCCAGAAAGAGCAATTAGTAATACAATGATACCAATGATACCAATGACAAGACAAATCAGGAAAGCAAAGAAGGTTCCAGAAGGTTCCACAAGGTTCCATGAAGGAATGTTCTAGAAGGTTCCAGAGGTTTCCAGAGGGTGATTCATAACAGTATCCAAGAATACACACAGACATGGTGTTCTCATATCTGTTTAAAGACCCGGATATCTGGTGGAGGGCGGATGTCTGGACTTTGTCAGCGGATTGGGCAGATATTTGGTCTTTTTGCATATCAGTGACTGGGAATTATCTGTGAGGCAGATGTGGGCAGTAACCATATCTGTCCACCATATCCGCCAGAGGTTTGGAGCAGATCCGGCAGAGATCCGGCCGAGGTCCAGTCTCCACTTTCTCAGATGCCAGCCTTAAACGAAGCTGTTCTCCAGCACTGCCCAATGATTGTGTGCATACTCCAGAACTGTGTTCAAGTCATACCACTTGCACTTAATCAGGAAAGCAGTTTTGGTTTTTTTCTTTCTCCCTCCTTTCATTTACAGTGAGGCACAAATCTGCACCCAGCCTCTTTATAATTGTATGATGTTCCTAAGTGAGACACATTTGCCACAAGGCAAAGTCTCAGCACAGTAGAAGAGTCAGGCATGCTAGCCTATTTGTTTACTTGGCTTAACTGGTTGTTGTCGTTCTTCCCACAACATTTTGCAAACCCCACGAAGCGTTTGCACTGGTCACATGGTGTAGTTGGTTATCACGTCTGTCTAACACACAGACGGTCTCCAGTTCGAGTCTGGATGTGACCAAATTCTCCTCTTTCTTGTCCCAGCTCTACTGTCTGTTTGTGGTGTTTGTGCTGTTGGCAAAAGATGGGGGCTGGGCTGGTGAAGGGGTTTTGTGTGGGTTTCAGTTCCCAAATCAGGAAGGTGACTCCAGAGCCCTAAAAAGGTATTGGACAGACAGTGTGTTGAGGGCAACAGGCCTACTGTGCGTCAGGCAATGATTCTACCACTGAATCCACTGTTGGGCAGTGCCTATGAATATGGCAAATACCCAGTGTTACTCTGTTGACTAGTATCTCGCCTTCTCCAATGCGTTTTCCAGCAAGAACAGCAAAGTTGGTCAGTGTGCTCAGAGTGGACCACACCTGCAGCATTGCATGACTAGAACTTTGTTCCAAAAAGTTCCATTATATACACTCTGGTCTTTGTTTTCAAGAGCCTACCTGGTGGGGGGCAAATTCAAGGAGAGAAAGCCTGATCATTCCCAGGTGAGGCCCCAACATGACGCAACTCAGGTGTAATTGTGTCCTCCCCATGGCCAGAAAAAAGGGACAAATATTGCTGCTTTGTTTAAAAGTGTTGCTGTGCACAGATTGTAATCGACACTGCGCAGAAAAACTGGGGGGTCTGTTGGTTTGTCCAGAAAAACTTTTCCCATTTTGTTTGAACAGCAATCCAAGCGTGACAGTTTTTGATATTCTGCAAGGCAGCAAAGAATAAGATAAAAAGTTTTCTTTTCTTTTTTGTCGCGATCTTTGTCAGGTCAGTCTCCTGCATTCCCAAATTGTTTTTACATTTAGTTTTGCCCATAAAAACAGTCAAGAACAAGAATAGGTCTCGCCTTAGAGGTTGAACCACTCTTGCCACTGCCACTTTTGATCATTTTAGCTATGAAACAAGCTCTGTCTGGAGGCTCTGCTCAGGCTGTTTTTTTTTTTTTTCCTCTGCACGGAAACAGTCTGGAGCAAAACAGCAATACCAATTTATTGGATCAACTTGTACCCATCAAAGCAAATTGCAATGAAGCCCCTCGCATCATTTTTGCTATGCTTTGACAAAGCAATCACTGCCCAGTGTAGTTAGAAAAACAAGAGAAAAAAAACCTGCTCAGTGTCACCTGCCTCTGTTTGGCAGCACCACCAACCAGCCTCCCCTCGACACTCCAGACTGATTGTGGGAGTCTTCAAGGCCCACACCATCACAATTTCCACTGTGGGGAGACTGTCAACCCAAATGTTGAGGCTGCACCCGGATTTGAACCGGGGTTCCCAGAATCAAAATCTGATGTGATAACAAATGCTCTAAGTCCCCCCAACCCTATGCAGGTATGTACAAGTGCCAAAAATAAATAATAATTAGGCGGGCTTGGGGTACGGCCTGTCAGGCACCCCATCCCTAGGCAGTCAGGCAGTCTCCGTTAGTCACCGAAAAAGAAAATATGTTGAGAAAACCCTGGCGCAACGGAAACTGTTAAGACGAAAGTAGTAAAAGCAGGCCCAATAATTAAGACGGGTTAGCCGCAAATACACTTTGATAACGCCTTGGAAACTAAAGAACCAGGAGCAATAATAGGGGTCCCGATCCTTGCGGTTTTATGACAGGTACGCTTGTTTTTGCGAATAAAATCCCTAGACTTTATCACTGAGACCTCAGTGTAGTCTCACACTCTTTCCAAAAAAAAAAAAAAAAAAAAAAAAGGAAAAGAAGAAAGCTTCCTTTTCTTCTTCATTTTGTTTCCTTCCAACATGCCCTTATGTTATTAGCACACAGAACTGAGTTCTGTTTGTTGCTGCCTGTTGTCTGCCATCGCCTCGCTCCCCAGGCCTCGTGCTGTATGGAGCGTCTAGCAGGCCACAAACCTCAGCGGTTTGGAAATGGCAGACCAGGCAGTGTTTAAACCTTCCACAACTTGAGGAGGGCAACCTACAGTGCCATTGTGCCAGTCTGTGCCACTGTTTTTCCAAATTAGATAACAAAACCCTTTGGGAAAGTTGCATTTTGAGGTCAAAGGATTGAATCAAATTGAATCACATAGGAAATGCAGTCTTAAGGATCAGAGTCAGTCCTTATCCTTTCCAAGATGAGTTTTATGGAATGCAGGAAATCTGGCAGTGGACAAGTCATGACAATCCATTGCACATGATTTCTATGGAGTGTGAGTTGACTATGACAGGATTGGCCTATGTGTGGACTCCTTAGCTCAACGGTAGAGCATTCGACTCCAGATCGAAAGGTTGCGTGTTCAAATCACGTAGGGGTCATGTAAAGACCTACACAGTCCATATATTTCTTGTTGACAGTGTTTGAGTTACTCAGTTCCAGCTCCCTTTCCGCCGCTGGTGCAGGCAATGTCTGGAGCCCAAAGCATGGATTCAACTTGGTTTCATGTGACAATCGAGAAAGATTTCCCCAACTGCAACAATGAGCCCTTCAGCCCCAGGGAGAGTAAGGCTATTGTCCGCTTATCTCTATTGGGGTTTTTTTTCCCTTTTTTTTTATTTTATTTTATTATTTTCACTAACCCCACCAAAAAAATTTGTAAAATCCTGCCAAAGTTGGCATAAAACACACATTGGAGAACTCCATATTGTGTCCAAAATCCAAAGACTGAAAAATGTATTGAAAATTGTGATATTGAAACATTTTCAAAAATGACAAAATTATGCAAATATATTTATGAACGATCAAAGAAAAATAGAAAACTATATTTTGAAAACGTTCGATATAAATTACACAAATTCTGACAGTTTCATAATAATAATGTGAAACGAGAAAGTGTAATGATTGGTGACGACCATTACGATTATGAAAAGGTATTCAAACTATATATGAAAAATTATTACAGAATGTATATAGAATTAAGTTACTATTTTTAACATTCGTTCGCGCACAACTTTTTTTACATCTAGAAGTTTAAATGAATCCTTTGTATGCACCGTTTAAACGAGAAGAAGAACCTGTAAAAGAAGCTGATCAAAAAAGCGTCGAAGACGCTATTCCAGAAAAAGAAAATGATCTTTTCATTGTTATTACGGCAAATCTTATAAAAGAAGTTGACAAAACACTTGCAGTATTTAAACGAATTTATGAAATTCCAAATTCTGATCCACATATTGTAATAATAAATGAACCATTTGATTGGTTAAAGTTGAAAGAAATAAAAGCAACTGATTTTAGAAGTGTAGTTGTTATTCAAGAAGAAGTTAAACGAGAAATATCTTGTTTTTGTCATCATCCAAGTCCATCTAAATTTGTTTATTCAAATGGATCCAAATCATATATAGTAGATGTTTTGATACATATTATTCCATATATAGCAAAAGATATTCCACTTTTGTTTTACACTAGTTCAGCATCATATGCAAATGTATCTGCTAAAAATGTTCCATCATATGCATTTTTCATTCCATCTGCAAAAATTTCTCTACAAAAGATATTTAATTCGTTTAGTAATGAAGAACCTATCAAAGCTTTGAAACGAATGGAGAGTGAACGATATGAAAAACAACCATCATGGATACCATTTTCTTGAACTTCTTTTGAATTTTTTACTTAAAATAAAACATTTATTCGTGTTTTATTTTGAATCACATTTGAAAACATTATAGATCTTTAGTACGATAATGAATATTTCACAATAGTAAGTCACGTGATTTCGTGAAAAGGAGTAAACGCAAATAAGCCCAAACACTGCTGGGAGCAATGCGTGGGGCTATCAATATAAACTTGTTTGGAAGTACTGTTATTTATTTTATTGATTCTAAATAATGACTCTTTCTATTGGAACTGATTGTTCTGGCATTGAAGCTCCAATTGAAGCACTTAGACAATTGGGTATTTCTTTTCAACACAAATGGTCATGTGAGATTGATAAGTATGCGCGCAAAAGTATGCGAAAGCGCGTTTTGGTTTCTGATAGGTTTTAATCTCGCCTGTCATTGCCAGTCTCTCGTGAAAGAAAGTGGAGTGCGAACACAACGGCTTTGTGATGGTACCCCCCAGTCTTACTAGACAGCCGGCTGAGGGCATTACGATTCGTCTTTGGGAGAGTCACAAGGGATGCTGCTGCTTGATTTTTTTCTCAGAGAATCCGACCGACGAGTTTGGCGCTAACGTTTCCCCGTTGCCAATAGACTTCAGTGAGCGCCTTCACCAACACCGCCTCCACCAACACCGTCTCCACCTACACCATCTCCACCAACACCGACTCAACGACTCCTGCGGTCCCAACGACACCTCTTTCATCACCTCCTTCTTCTACTACTGCAGTTGTAGCAGCAGCTGCTGGTATCCGCGCGGTTGCGCTTGTGTCTGTGACGGTTGCTCTTGTGTTCAATATACGATCGCGTCAGAGGCTTCATGACCGGGAGCCCTAATCCCCACCGCCTTGCTACACAAACTTGGGAGTCGCCACAGCCGAGGGAGGTATCGATCAAACATTCTCGTTGTTGTCACGTTCGCCGTCTGCGTCAGGGGCGGTCCCCCTTTGCGTCCACCGCGTGCCGCAACTTCAACGTCCACAGACTCCCGTGCAAGCTCCGCCGAGTTGCGGGTGGACACCAACCTAGCGTGCCGGAGCGCAACGGCCACCTCCACAAGGTCAGCTCAGTTCCTTCGAGAGTTTCAACAGCTGTGAGACCCATTGCGAGGAAGCGCCGAAGAAGAGTCCATGCGGTTTTCGGTCGCCAAAGTCGAGATGAAGGCGGAGTCGGACAACGCCTTCACGGATGGCCATGATGGAGATCTTGGCGTGGAGATGTTGCGAGTTCGGGGAGTGGCAGAGTCAACCGTTTGCGTGTTCCGCGGTACGTTCCGGGGCTGTAATGGAGACGGCTTTCCTCCTTTCACCGATTGGCTAAAAAAAAAGACTCATACGAAAACAGGGTCTCGTCTTAATCTGCACGACCTTCCAGAAATCACCGGCGTCGCCACCACACATCTTGAGAACCCCACGATACCGATTTTCAGCGCCGTCCCGTCGCGCCATCAGACTGTCATACGACACCTCGCCGGCCGACTGGGAGTCCTTGTGATCGTGTCGGACACTCGCCCTGACGAAATGAACTCGGAGCAAGGGTTTGTCGAACAAAGTCTGCCGGTCGCGGCCTGGAGGGACAACAGACGACAGAACGAAGCGGGAATACGGTCGACGATGGCTGCGCCGCTGGCTTCCGGAACCGTGATGATGTGTACTGAGATGCATGAATAGTCCTTGGTGAACTTTGGGGGTGGCTTTTCGCGTATGCAAAAGAAAACTGCTAATACAATAATAAAGTGTTCCTCGCTGGCCCTCATGTGCGCGATAAGGAAGAGAAGTAACCCTCTCGTAGTGCTGACAATGCTTGTTTCGCTAGCCATCGGTGGCTGACCGATTGCATGTCGCCCACACCCGCGCCATTGTCCCGCTCCTCGCCAAGCAGATCTACTACGCAGTCTCGCATCCCCGCCAAGAAATACATCTTTGCAACGCTCCATCGGCTCCCGGTTCTTCAAGCCGCCGCGCTTCTTCTTCTCCCAAAGCTCTTGGCCCACGCGCCCTTCCCCGCCGCCCTGTTACGGTATGAGACTACATAGAGGACACCTACAGCGGGCAATCTGCATTTTGCGTCCCAACTAATACATATACCTGAAGGTGTGGGTGAGATTTCTCATCCTCTTCATAGGTATTTTGTGTGTGCGAAGAAGTGGAGCGTCGGTGAAGGGTAGCGAAGCGGGATTGGCGATGCCTCACAGACTCAGCGGAGAATTTACCCTGATGACGGCGTGTCCAGTACCGATTCTCAACATCTCTCCCGACACCGACACCGTCATCGCCGAGTTCCTGTCCCGCCTGGCAGGCGGCATGTGGCGCTCTCTCGTCGCTCCGGCTGAGCGAAAAAAGATTGGCTTTTTTTCATTTTTTGTTTGGTTTTTGACGAAGATTCGTTACTCGTGCAGGAAGGGCCAGGATTAAAAGTATCAGCGCGATCAGTGGTTTGAGTTGTTGGCCAGAGTCACACGCAAAAAATAGGATGACAATTTGGACCAGAAAACTTTGTGAGGTGTTTGACTTGGCCACCCACAAGAGTTCAAGTGCAAGTCCAAGTGCAAGTGACCTGTCAGCACCACTTGGATTGGAGTAATTGGAGCACTTGCACTTTCCCCTAATGACGAGAAAAAGCCCTTATATAAGAATGCCTTTTCTCTTCACCGTTCCCCAACTTCCCCATTCCAATCGCTTTATCTCAGACATCATGCAGACTTCCTCCTCTACGATCATCGTGGTTGGAAAGTCCGGCCTCGGCAAGAGCACGTTTTGCAACATTTACTC